TGTGTGTGTGTGTGTGTGTGTGTGTGTGTGTGTGTGTGTGTGTGTGTGTTGGGGGTGGGGGGGTGTTACTTCATATATCTTCAAGGAGCCAGTAGCTAAAATGTCAGGTCATGCTGTAGCAGAGCTAAGGCCAGCTAAAGCTCTGTGTTTATCACTGAGGTGGCCTTGTTTCCAGATACTCAAACTGAGCTTCAGTAGAAGAAACTGGCAAAACCTGAGCACGATGAGCTTTGTGTAGAGTCAACTTACAAATAAATGTCAAATCAACAACTTGATTCAAAGACAATTATAGTTTTAGGGCTGGTTTTTGTAGCAGAAACAATACTCAACTTGCTCAGCTGTAGGTCTCCTCGGATGAACTAATACAGCGCAGATTCAAAAAGTTAGATTGTGTAAAAGTCACATTTTTATGTGACGTAAATGCATGAGCCTACAGAAGCCAAGGCCTAATGTAGTTGTTCATTTTACAGTGTAGGTGTTTGCTTTTGTTTAGATCAACTAAAAAAAAAGCAGCAGAATAAGCGTAAGCGTGTGAGTGCAGAGATTCTTCTTATCCTAATCCAAGAACTTAACTTCATCCTGTCTTGTCTCTCAGTCTTAAAATGTATAATACCAAAGAACTTAAATAAACTTGTCTGAATGTTTCAGTATAACAACACACATCACCTACCAGCCAGATGAGTAGTTATATACTAATACTGAAGTCATTATTAACCTCAGTATAACTCCAGACAATCAGTGACTCACTTATTAAGGATATGGTATTGATATAATCAATAATCACACTGAGTAAATCAATTGCTGGTAGTTTACATAAATCAATAAATAAGTCATCTTCTCGATGCAGGATCGCTGACTTCAACTCAGCTTAAAGTAAAAAGAAAAAAGAGAAATAACAAAACATCTTCACGTTGTCAGCCGAGACATTGTCCAGCAATGTTTGGCGATCAATGAATCTGTCAGTAATCACATTAACAGGTTCCTGTCAGATTTCACATTGTTGATCAAAGGCTTCTTAACGTCCCTGATGCTGTTTTTTACCATGTGACACTAGGTTACATATCATAGAGGAAGAATCCTGGCAATAGCCTACAGGCCAGAGAATCAGCCTGGAACGTTGCCAGTTCAAATCTCTGAACCAGAAGGTCAGTGACGAATACTGTCGTACTTAAGATAACCTCACCCAAACGCTCCAGCTGGGCCAACTGCAGAGTCACTATCAGTTATTTCCTGAATATATCAGACAGGCCGAATGGGATCTAGGGTGTGATAAGGTGGCAGATCCTGTGCCTGAATCTCTGAATTCCTGTTTTTACTGGATTCTACTCCTGATTTTACTGGTTCTACTGATAGGACTTCTCCTCACTGAAGTTATACAGGATGCTTTTGGCTCCGTTCTGCCATGAGTACAGTATCTCCAGGGGAGTTTTTCCTTCCTGCAAGGGAGAAATAAACACACGCATTTAGTTTTTCTTTAGCTTCACCCCTGTAGATATGTAGGTACAGTAGGTCTTTAAAGCTGATTATACATCAACACGGGGAAATAGGATGATTTTGAGGAACATGTACTTTACTTCAGTTTTTACTTCTATTTTATACTCTTCTATGCTTCATAGTGACATATTGCACCTTTCACTTTGGATTCATTCAACAGATTTAGTCACTTTCAGATCAATATTTCTAATGTAAAACATATGAGCTACCCAACACAATAGGAATTCAATCAAATCAGCCCCACCTCAACAATTTGAAACACTGAAGCACATCATACATATGAATCAATCAATTACAATGACCTAGTAGTATACAAAAACAAGGCTGACAGGGGCTAGTCCACATAATGAATAATTGTAAGTCCATGTTGGAGACCTGACCTCTGTGGTGATATGTAAAAAGTCAAGCTGTCATATCAGAACCATCAGGATTTATCACGAGTGTCCACAGTAAGTTTAACTGCAAACTGCCTGTTACAGTTCAGAAGGGTCATGGACTAAGTTTGGCCTGATGGTCAGATGATACATGAAGTTCTTGTGCACACGTGAATGTGAAGCTATGACCTTACATACATTTTCAGGGGATTGGCGCAGATCTCCAGAGTCATGTATGTGCTAAGGGGCTGTGCTGCACTTACGCAGTTTGTGGCGTCGACACTGGCCCCGTATATCATCAACAGCTTGATCATCTTGAATCTGTTTGTCCGCACAGCATCGTGCATGGGCGTGTCTCCATCCTTCAGATATACAGGTGACAGGTAACTGTTTCTCAGTAGGAATGACGACCTATCTAGTTTGTCATGAGGTATTGTCTTTCAGGTAAGAAATGGGGTCTCCTAAATGTACTGGGTCAAACTGATCTAAAAAATCTAAAAACAATAGCTAAAAGTATTTTATTGGTATGAAAATTCTTCTGCTTGGCTTAATAGGTGTAATCAACATATAAAATGAAAATGGTTCATTTCACATATTTGCAACCTCCCCCTGCATGTTTATATTACAAAGATACTGTTCGGGTCAATCAGACCCTGAACACAAGAGGTGTTTCATGTTAATTTATCAACATCACTTCATAAAAAGAAAAGATTTCAAAATGTAAAATAAAAATAATGTATTTTATATGTAGGTCTTTCCAATGTACATTAAAAAAGTTTTAACATGCATTTTTTATGAAAAACCAGTGCATTATCCTCATTGAACCATAATCTGTGATAGGTGAAGAACACCACTGCACTAAATAGTGATTGAAATGGTTAGTAATGGTAAAATTGACCCAGGAACATCACTGCTGTTCCTGAGAAATGAACATAACAGGTGGGTTAAGTACAAGTACTTAGTGTCTGCTGGGTTTTACACTGGCAGATGTTTTTGTAAAACTGGCAGTGAGCTGTCATGGCTGTGTGTGCAGCCGGTGCAGATATTTCCACCACAGTCACCTGGCTGATCTCTGCTGTGTGTGGCTCCCTTATTTCCTCCCACAGACTCTGCGCTGTGGCTCAGTCCATCCCCATACAAACACACGTAGAGTCAGAGTGAGTCTTCAGGCAGCATCACACCTGGCAGCAGGGCCACAGACTCTGTGAACACAGATTTGATTGTGTTCAGAGCAATTCCTGATCCCTGCAGCTCTTTGGTTCCCCCAGCACATCAGTCATTCTGTGCCCGTTAAGATGAAACACAGCCCAGCGTGTCGACACAGACCAATATGTAAAATGACTCTGGTTGCGAGTGGGCAGCACTCGGAGTAAATGAGGAGAGACTCTCTGGGTCTCTCAGTGCTTCAGTCAGCACAGTGTGTTGGAGCGGTGGGCTGGAGGTGGGCCATATTCTGATTCTCAGCTCGGAAACCTCTCAGGAAAAACTAACAAAGGCCTTTGCTCACTGGCTCTTACTTTACACAGTATTTATTCATATATGATTCTGTTGCTTTCACTAGAAATTCTGCTTTATGGCAAATTGCTGTCACCTCAGTGTAAATACAAGCGTTGTCATTTCCAAGCACTTCTTTAATCATTTGATATGTGGAGCAGACACCATCGCTGTGCTCTGCCAGAGGACGAGTCACAACACACTCATGATGATGATACAAAGCTCTCCTATTGCAGGTTTGTGCTTTGTGGCATCCATTACCAACCACCTGCTCGGCTGTCTGATGCTTCACTCTTCCTGCTTCCCAGTGGGAATTGCAGCACATGCATTGATGCAGACATTTGGCAGAGCCATGAGCTGCATTTGCAAGCTTTACTTAAAAAGTCTGTGGGCCAGGTTTTAATTAGCGTCACTAAACAATAAGGTCGTAGACAGGAACAAATGTACACCAGGCTCAACTTGGTCACTTTAAAACCTCTGTGTATGATACTTGTTTAATCTAGATGAGTAAGCATCCTCACATTTATTTCATGTTATCTGTGTGAATAAGCATCAGAGTTGATGTTATGAACTGACCTTTATCAGCTTTTACTCATCCCAGGAATTAAGAGCAGAAACCTTTAAATCTCCTGAACAAAAAAAAGCTCGAGGTACAAAACTCAGGCAATCTGGTGGATTAAATGACGATTCGATTTAGAAACGATTTGTCTTCAAAAATTTGATTTGGACCTAATTTAACTTGACAAGACAAAAGAAAAGTGGATACTGAAGCAGAGTTGCTGTCGACATCACTGATCCTTTATGACACAAACACACAAAGCAAACCTTCAAATGAGCTTTAGCAAAGCTTCCCTCATCCCAGTTTTCTGCAAGGTGTTCCTAGATTGGTTCAGCAAACCCTCCCAAGCGCTTCCTTCTGCTTAATGAGTGCAGCCTTACACCAGGGAGTCCGAGCATAAACAGTGCCCCCAGCGTACCATGCACTTCCACCTGTGATGCTTCGTTTATCACCAAGCTTCATTCATATAAATGGTAGATGTGATGAGTCTTCTCAAGAGGGATGGTGAACGTTTAGTTTGTACTTCCTGAATGCGACACAGTCTTTTAAATCACTCATATCTGTAATGTAACCCAGTCTGGACTCACTCTGCTGCACAAGTAAAACAAAGGGCACAAAATATAAACTAATATACTGTGACTGCAGGAAAAAAGAGCATTTTGCAATAAAAATTAATATAATCAAATAAAAATAAAGATGAAGTGATATTTCATAATAGGATAAGGTAGCTTTAAGGTAAATTATTTGTCAGCAGCACAAGAAACATGATCCACAGTGTATACGACCCAGGTTTATTACTGTCCATTACTATCTGGATTTTCTTAAGAAAAGCAGTAGGTTAGTTTGTTTTTATGCCTCCACACCGACCAGACGGGGTGGCAGTAATGAGGTACAGGCCCAAGACTGGTTCCCAACACAGTGCAGCTGTAAGATACAAGCTATAGAATAATAGAAGATGCAGTAATAAATGTTGCTGAGGTCTGATATAAAAGCAACAGGAATATAAATGTATTTTTGGGCCCGTGTGGGACATACAGACAGATAATGTGTGTGCATGTTGGTGTCTATCCACTGTGTGTATCCATCCTGTCTCCACTGCTGAGCAGAGGAAATTTCCTCTGAAAACAGACCTTTTTCTTTTTTCTACGTTTGGATATGTAACTCTCTCTCCTCTGCAGCGGTTAGCCTCAGTCGGCCTGGATGCCAAGAACACAGTGTGCATCTGGGAGTGGAAGAGAGGGAGGATCCTGGCTACAGCCACCGGACACTCTGACAGGGTGAGAGTGTGCATCTGTGTGCACGTTATAAAGGCTGTACGTGTGTGTTTACGTCTTCTTTGTCCTCCAGATCTTCGACATCTGCTGGGACCCGTTTCAGCAGAACCGTCTGGTGAGCTGCGGAGTCAAACACATCAAGGTAACACACTGTACAGACAGAAACTCCCACGTTCTGCACCACGGCCTGGTCCGTTAACCCCAGCAGCTCTGTGCCTCTTTCATTAATGTGAACATTAGCTGCTGTTAACTTTTGCTCTTGTTCAAACCCAGAGGTGTTTGTCCTACTGTTTGTAACAGACACGATTAGTGTAGTCAGACAGTGTAGTTTAGTTTTTTTGCCTTTTCTTTGTGTGTTGTCATGTTTATCAGGTTTGTAAGCCTTCACCTTCTCAGTAACTAATGTAGCTGCCTGATTAAACCACTGTTATGTTGTGCTTTCTGTGGTATAACCCCATCCAGCACCTTGGGAATAGCCTGGACCACTGACTGTGAGCCAGACCTTATCATCAAACTTTACTGATGAGCTTCACTAGGGCTCTTGTGTCTGAATGCAAATCCCTACAGCAGGTTCAAGACTGGAACCAGAGGAGCAGCAGATTAATGCATATAATAAGCTGCCATATTTTGGTGTCCACATACTTTTGGCCATGTGGTGTAAATAGACGCACTGACCTTCACATATGATGGGACCAGAAAAAAGATGTTCCTTCCTCTCTTTCTAGTTCTGGTCTCTGTGTGGGAACGCTCTCATTCCAAAGAGGGGAATTTTCGGGAAGACGGGCGACCTGCAGACCATCCTGTGCGTGGCGTCAGCTAAAGATGATGTCACGTACTCTGGGGCGCTCAACGGGGACATTTACGTCTGGAAGGGACTCAGCCTGATGCGAACAGTTCAGGCTGCCCACGGGGTGAGTCTCACACCCACTGAAGGTTCTTGTCATGGGAGAGCTGCAGTAGAAACGGTTCAAGGTGAACCAGCAGGTAGATTTGACTTAAGCTAGTACTACTGTGTTCTGCTACTGATACTAGACGATTATTGTCTTGATATTGAAATTCAAGAACTCCCATCACAGCACGCGTGGGTTGGAGTTCACACACTTCTCTACATGTTTTCCATCTTAGTCTGGATTCAGTTTACATCCTGTGATGACCTGAAAGGTGATGTGAATGCTCTCTGTTAGTTCTGAGTGTAGCACCGCAGCATTTATGATGCACATCTCAGTGAGTTTATCATCACAGTCTTGCATCCAACAAGAAGATAAATCATTTTTATCTGATTTAAAATTTAAAAACACTTGATACTGGCACAAATAATCAGCTGCTGAATACTGTGTGTGTGTGTGTGTGTGTGTGTGTGTGTGTGTGTGTGTGTGTGTGTGTGTGTGCGCGCAGGCGTGCGTATCCAGTAGG